CGAGAGTATATTCTAGCGGTTTTTCTTTCTCTCCCATTTTGCCACTCCGCGATGACTTACAATTTCAGCCCATTCTTGGCTCAATTCGTGGCCTTTTGACTCTCCATTTTTCCATCTTTATTCTTCGCGGTTGTTCTCAAGAGCACAAAGAAGAGTGCGCCTAGCAAATATTTAGAGAGATGAAGATACCTTGATTGCGGCGGGTCAAAATTGGAGCAGAACGAGCAGAACGGATTCTAATTAGAGGAGCGCCTATATATGTGTTTTCTTTACTAAAATGCTTATCATGGACTAATGCCCATGATTGGAAGAAACTCAAGAACTCATGAAAAATTCATAATGAATCCACAGAATGCTGTTATATATGTTTCTCTGGAGGTTTTCCAGGCGGAGATGCAAATTAGCGTATTTTGTCACCGAAATAAGTTGAACGAATCCCAGTAATTTAACGGTAACATAGGAAGATATTGAAAATACTATAATTTTTATAAAGATCATCATAAGACGGGTTGAAGATTGATTTGAAAAGCAAGTAAACCTTCAATTAAATATTACTTTCTATACAAATTACTATCATTTTACACAAATCTCAGTGCGTAAAAGTAACAAGTCTTGTTATTCTCTCATTTGAATAAATATTTTTAATTGCTGATGTTGCAATAGACCCTGAGTCGATACTCTACTAGAGGTTTGATTGGAAAAATTGATTTTAACACATTTATAGCATATCAGGTACAAAAAACTGAGAGTAATTAGAGTGAAGATGGCTTGTTTGTGGCGATGAATGCAAAGAAATTCCTCGAGAGAGAGGCGAGAGAGAGAGAGAGAGAAAGAGTGGCACCTGGCTGTGGCGATCGCAGGTGATCCAAGTCAGTGCGGCTCGGGCTTTCGTGGCGATCGCGCACGCGAGTGAAGATGTGAGTGGTGATCACGGAGTGCAATAGTTGTTCCCAAAGGTTTTATTTTATTAGTGATGATCAGGCAGGAGAAGATCAAGTATGGGCGCGAGGTGGACTCGGGCAGTGATGACTTCATTGAGGAGGACTTTCTGGACAATGCCGACCAGATACCTCAGATGGAGCTCCTCAAGATCAACTATGTTCGGCGTGTGCCTGAGGATCAGCGTCGCAGGAAGACGATGTCCAAGTACACGGTGTACAAGAAGCACAACTTCTTCGGCGGTCGTGCGCAGGAGGAGAGGACAGAGGACAAGGCAAAGAGGAAGTACCTGATCTTCGAGGGCCGCAGCAAGAAGAGCAGCAAGCTGGACAATATTCAGTTCTACTTTGACAATAAGAGTTATGAAAGACACGTGGACAATAAGTTGTACGGGACGTTTAACAACTGGAGAGATCTGCAGCATAGATGTGAGAAGAATGCCCGCAATGCCCAGAGGCAGAACGAGGTGGTGTTGAGGGAGAAACGACCCGTTTCGGCTGATCTGTCGAGGATCAGTCAGATCTTCGAGGGCGCCAAAAGGGAGTCTCTGGAGAGGCAGAAGCTGAACAGATATTCAATGCCGGAGGCGGATAAGAAAGTCAATAAGATCAAGAAGTTGGTGGACACGTTTGAGGGTAAGAATCTCTGCTCTCACGTGAAGATTACACCAACACCTGAAGATCAGTTGAAGAGAATCCTCGAGAGACCAACGCCAAAGCCTCTCTCCACTGTAATCTCGGTGGAGAGTCCTCGAGGAGTGGTGAAGAATACGTGTGGCTACAAGAATTGCAATTTCGCCAATTGTCCCATGTCAGCCTCTTCCTCTTCCTCCACAACCAGCGAAGATCACTCAACGTCGCGCAAGAAGCGCGTGTCCAGAATTCATCTCAACTCTGACGCAGATCCGAAGAGTGATCGTCTGGAGAGGCAGAAGAATATCAAGCAGTTGGAGAGCAAGATTGTCACGAAGCTCATTTCCGATGAGCTTAAGTTGCACAGCAAGAAGGCCAAGAGTCCCGAGATCCTCGCCAATGACAATAACACGGTGAAGATCTATATTCAGAGTGAAGCCAATGACTCTTCCAGTTCAGATTCCGGGGATTATGGATACTATGACCAAGTGGCGGAGAGCGTGAGCTCCACGGAATCTTCCCTGCGCAGTGATTTGGAGAAGATCGTCAACTTTAGCGATCGCTTCAACGCAAAGCTCGGATGCGATGGAGAAATCTTCTGGAATGACTGCTATCTGTACGACGACGAGGGCAAGTGCAGTGGTGAGGATGCCAAGAGCTGCGAAAAGTACATCTGCGTGTGCTCAACGAAGCAGGTAAAAAGTGATTGGTGAAATGCGAGTGATCTTGAGTGTCATAATTCAGATAAGGGAGTGATAGTGAGTGGCTCACTGAAGGCGTCTTTAAAGTGACATTGTCACAGAATTACCACTAAGTGATGGCGTTAAATGCATTGGAAATCAACAGTGCCCTTCACTTTTCAACCAGAGACTCTCGTAAAGATCACTTAAGATCGCACTTGAGAGTATTTTGTTAGAATTCTGCAGCTATCAAGGCAATTTCATATTAAACACTGGAGATTACGCCACAACATTCATGTTCATGTTTTGAAAGTAACACTATCAATATGGCTTTTATTTATCATTTTTATCTTATTTAAATACTATTTGCGAATGGTCATTGTGAGATCATAACCGATCACCTTGGGTATTATATGAATAAGGCGGATTTTAAAAGACATTTCAAAACTTTTTGCCCGCAATTTTTACCTTCTTTTTTTTATTAACGATCATGCAAGCAAGATCACTTTTTTTTTTAAACATTCCATAGTTATTTTCACATAAGTACTAAAGCATTTTGTGACGTGTTTTGGGGAGAAGAAAAAATAGAAAACGCTTTTTTTGCCGCGAGCGCACAAAATTGGCCGTTGACTTCGGGAAAAAAAGTGACTTTCATTTCTCATCATCGCGATCGTGAAAAATTGTAATTTTTTCTGACCCAAAAGATCGACTGTCGAGATGACTAATCAATGACCAGAATCTCAAATTTGAATAGATGTTTTCACTCATCTTTCCCGCGATAGATCACTGTATATATGGTCCCTTATCAAAAGGTGGCATTGTGACGATCTGGGCGCGTGATCTTCCCTTGGCATTGAAAGTGAATTGAAGATCCCAGGGCGGTCCGAAAAGGCGTGATTTCACGATAGTGAGAGAGAAAATCATTGTCTTCCTCACCCAGTTTCCATATTCTCTCACTTTTTCTTTCATCACCTGCTTAATTTATAATTTTTAATTGGCAATTTTTCGGGCATGAATAGAAGAAGATCTGCTCAGATGCAACTCTTTATTTCATCCTCACGTGTGGGTGGACCTGAAGAAATCCATGGGTAAGCGCCAGTGTTATGGTGGGAACATTGTGTGGTGTCTCAAAATCACAATGCGGCCCAGAAAGTGCAATAAAAAAATGCAAATTTCTCTCTCTTCATCTTGTCTCTCTCGCGAATGAAAAGAGAATCATATACACACACTTGGGAGTCATGATAATATTTAGAGCAAATATTTCCAACATCTCTCAAGTTCCCATATTCATCATTAATGAGGAAAACTATGCGAGAATATCTTTCATGTTTTTTACTGCCTAATAAACCACCACAAGTCGAGCAATAATTGCAATTAATTCCCCCTCAGCTCGAAGGTGTGCGCTATTGTTCAGCCGTTTCTCATGCCTGTGGCGGCGCGGCAGTTTGCCGCCGCCAAAGTGGCCATCGAACATGCAAGGAGGCGAATTTGCCATGACGAAAAGATGTAATGATTTATGCTCACGGGAAAGTCTTGCCTTCTGACAAATTCGTTTTGTTGTGACTCGCGCAATTGCGAAAACCGCGGCGCCTTATGTAAATAAAATGTGTTTGAAAACGAGAAATGCTGGAAATGCTTCAGTGGGAAAACACTGGATGGCACTCAAGAAAGCTGTGCCGTACAGCAATACTTTGTTGCCACTCTCAATCATTAAGTGCAGCTGAATTTGTGTGTTCTGAGAATGAGGAATTTTTCTTAAGACTTTCGGCAACACTTGTCATGATCACTCAGTCTGTCTTGTCTTGATTTATTGGATGAAAAGACGGCTTTTATTGTCGGAATTGAAGCACTTCCATCAAGATCCCATTGAGAATCACGACAACCTCATTGGATTTTCTATGTGTAGATCTCAAGATTAGCCAGATTTGCTCTAGAAAATAATTAAGTATGAAGAGAGAAGAAATTGCTGATGATTTTGTCGACACGAAAAAGCTCAGTGGAGCAAAATTATTTGCTTATATCGCGACTTGAGTCCATAAATCTGGGTTGAATTCCGGACTTTTGATCGTATGGAAGTCAATTTTGTATGGAACAATGGAAGAGAGATGAAAATGTCATGCTGAACAAACAGACAAAGAGTTAGTGAAGCAAATAGATTTTGCTATTGGCAAAAAGAAATGCCAACAAAGACGCTCTTCACTTTCCTCTCGATTGACTTTTTTTGCTTTCTTGAGTATATTTTGAATTTAAATATTATCTACTGCTGCCAATTAAACGCTGAGTGGATCCCATAAATCACTGGCAATGTTAATTGTTGTGTGATTAATGAAGATTCACCTGTATTAATTGAATCTTCAACGTGCAATTCCGCTTTCCGCGCCACACTCGATCGATTGATTTGTGTCAATGGGAGCCGATGAGCAAGATTTTTCCGATAGACTTGCAACAGCAACACAAGCCTCTAATTGCGACTCCTCGACGCTGGCAGGCACAAAAAAAGACACTCAAAAAGTCAAGAAAAAGCACCTCGTAATCACTTGATGACATAAATTCATCAACGACCGTCGCTGAACTACTTTCCATTAACGAGAGAGTCTCGCTTTGACCGTCAAAGTGTCAGAACTTTATTGGCGATGGGACAATAGAGCCGCGCACGCAAAATCATTGTCCGCGGATTATTCGGGCAGAAAGAGAATAAACCATTCTCCGGGCAGAGCTTAATTGGCTGTAACTGTGATCTCTGTTGCAGATCGATGGACTCGAATCGCGGCCGCGGTCCATGGAAGGTCCGCCGGACTCTGGCATCTCCATCAACGGCGACACCGGCTCCAGTCCAGACAGTGACAACTCTTCCCAGCAGTCTCAGAATCAATCGGTGAGCATTTCCTATTCCTCATTCTTGCGCTACTTTTCAGTTGCGATTTAACTCGGCGGGAGAGAAATTGCCTGAAGGCAGGCAAAACAGTGTGAAACGATGATTGATGATTGTTAACCCTTCCAGACATGATCAATTGAATTTATTCGCTTCCACAATATAATTGAGTTCATTTCGATTCAATATTAAATATTCTCAACGTGTCATTTGAATAAAATTTAACTGCAACACTTTCTGTTGTTGTTCAAAATGAAGAATTGTGAAGAAATCCTCCGTTGAGTCTTTTCAGGACTCTCTTTCTTGCCACAGAATATTCACTGACCTGACAAGCTTTCGTGACTCTTCAGCAGTCCATCAAGCTAAACTCTTCCTTCTTCACCGTTCATTTGAAATTCATTTCACTTTTCGACCAATATCTTCGCATTGATATTTAAACTTAACAATAAATGATGAATTATTTAACACCAATATCTATAACATTTGAAAATTTCTCTCTTCATTATTCAATCATGTTGCCTATTTTGGCTGAAAATTGAGCAATAAATTTGACAAATCGAAATGCAATCGGGTTAATGAGTTGCATGTGCATTTTTCTTCTCAGGACATCGAGGCGCGTCGCCTGAAGCGCGGTCACGTCCTGGCCGAACTGCTGGAGACGGAGCGAATCTACGTGGCGGAAATGGGATCAATTCTGAAGGTGAGCAAATAGAGCAGAAGCATGATTAGAGATTGAGATCTCTCCAGCTGATATTATTGGATTTACGAGAGTAATTAAGTTCTTGTGCATAAGTTCAACACTCCACATTCCGCTTCGTTGAATCTCTGCAGACGAGAGTCTGGCTAAACACCTCGCGAGTGATTCACCTCGATTAATTTGTAACTGCCATTGCGTACAAAATGAATTTATATATATTAGCCACGGGAGAGGGGCTTGTTAAGTGCCAATAATGGGATTACATTATTGTGAAAACGCACTTTTGCATTCAAATCACAAGAGAGGTTGAGTGGCTCGATTAATTTGCCGTTTGCGAGACTTCTATGGTAATATTTTTGTGTGTGGTGATTGATTTTGTGGAAAAATAACATCAAATGGATGGAGAGTCATTTGAATATGAAATGAATAAATGCAGAAGAAGAAAATCTCATTTCGCGGATAATTAAAACAGCAATAAAAGCTGCATGATAGAGAGTCATAAAACAGTGCAATTAGCGTGATTATCGCTGCCTTTTGGTCCTGCTGACCAGATGGAGTTGTGTGGCTCTTTTTTCCCGACGGAAAATGGCCGGGACAACGCACTGCTGGGCGCTTGGATATTGCGGATAACGATCAAATGTATGCGGAAGATGTGTAGCTGATGGTCAGCGCCATGTTGGTGTCGGTCAAGTGCATAAATCAGGCAATCTTGTGAAACAGTGCATCACATCTTCGATAGAACTCTCTGTGTGGCTTATCTGAGGTATGATGTGGAGTCAGCGAGTCGGGCAATTAGCGGTGCACAGCGCGATGTTGGGTGCACTGGCGCAAGTCTTGGATGCGTGAGCCATGCTAATGACTGGGGGAGCGGCACGCCAAGGGCCTCCGTCGAGCGGGAGGCTCGCAGAGCGATTCAGTGGGTGTTCGAGTGCACTCCGTGGACGGTCGGACTAGTGGGAATGAAGTTTGGCAACTACAATTTGGCCACTGCCGGTACGGACAAATCCAGGAGTCTCCTCTTCCGCTTCAGGAAAGTGAAGAACACGGCCAATCAGCTGGTGGGACGCTTTCATCACAAGATTGGGACGTTCAGGAAGAAGCGTAGCGAGTCGCCGCTCTCCTTCAGGGCGTCGCTCTTCGACAGGAGTCACCCTAAGGGGGCCGCCGCCGACAGGGTGGAGAAGTTCTCGCCGGCGGACTTCCCGAAGGCCCACTTCGCTGAGGACAATCACTATGTGTTTGGCAGTGACCTGAAGAGACTTGTGCTCAATCAGAGACTCCTCGGCCGCCGACAGCCAGCCATGGAGCATCTCTATTCCTCCATCGGGAGGCCGGATGTTGAGGAGGATCTCGCCTCCAATCCTGTCAGCACCTGGCGTACAAATCGCAGTCGCGGAGCCAAGATCCAACACGCCCAGTGAGCTTTCAGTGTACCTTCAGTGAAGTCCTCCTGTGTTCCTCCTTGCAAAATCAGTGGTGTTTTTCCTTCTGTGAAATATTACTCCGTTTTTTATGCCTCTTCACTTGAATGAAATTTTCAAACTTGTTGATCTGGCGTTTACGCATGAAAGATCACTCAATAATAATTCCTGCAATTACGAAATTGTGCCAACATTCGCACGATTTAAAATAACAAAACGTGTACATCTCATAATTAAATTAATTAAAAAGGAGTATGACAATTTTGAACAGTGCGCACGCAATTAATGTGCGAAATGAACACCACCCCTTAGGCGTTCCTCATTTTTTTTTCAATAGCCACGGTTTAATTAAGGAAAACACAATAAACAAAATACCACTGAGTTTGTTAAACTAATACATCGCTTTCTCTCGAAGAAGTTCAAGAGCGCGCGCGAGAGTGGAAACGGGAGGACTTTGGAGGGTGATGAAGATTGTGGGTGGCATTCTAAAGCGCAGACGGTTTTTCAGGGTCAGTGGAGAGGCGCGAAATGTGGACGCTAGGAGTGCTTTGGAGGCGCAACAAGTGGACGAAGCGTTGGAGTATCAGGTGCTGAAGGACTACTTCGACACCTACTCCTATTCTGAGATCATCAAGGACGCCGACTTCAAGAACTACCTGAGCATGAAGAACTACAATGACATCTTGGAGTATCTGCAGGCGGAAAGCGTGACCGGGAGTGCGGTGAATACGCTCAAGTCGCGGAAGTCTCACTTGGATGCCACACTGAGTCGTAACTTCCGGACGGTGAAGAAGAACGGCACGCTCAACAACTGCGGTCGCAACAACCACGCATACGAGGACGTCGAGTTGAGAAAATACGCGACACTGGAGTCAACGGTCGCCCGTCGTGGCCGATACAAGACAATGAATGAGAGCTACACGCTGCGGAGACATCCAAAACCCATCCCGAGAGTCAGTCAAGATCCGCCTGTGACCAGAGCGAGAGAGGCCAATATAAACGATCACTACTCAACCTTCCCGACGCAGTCGAAGGTGAAGAATAAGAACTTCACGCACAGCTTGAAGAGAATCAAGAATGTTTTCGCAACGGACAAACAGAAGCTGAGCAGTTGTGCAACTGTGCAGTCTCCCAAGGACAATGTGTACAAGGAGAACATCTTCAAGTACCACGATAAGAACTGTTCCTATGCGAAGAGTTATTGTGAAATCATCAACTTCTGTCAGGAGTTCTTCACAGAAGCCAGCAGCAAGAAGAAGAATCTGCCGTACTGTCGGAAGAAGAAGTTCTCAGAGAATGACTATAATCGCGTCATAGCGGCTTTTGTCAAGGCTAAAGGCTATTCTAGCGTTAAGGAGTATGTGGAGATGAAGTTTGGGAAGATCCTAGATCGCGCACTGAAATCAAATGAGATCTTCACGAAGACGAACAGAGTTAGGCGGGCAAAGCGAAGCCACGAGGATGAACGCAAGGCTATTCAGAAATTCCTCTACGAGGACATGTTCAAGACTTTCGACTACGTCAGCAGATTCCCACCGAGATCTGTTTGCAGCAGCTGCGGTCAGTTGACCAGCAAGGATGAGTTGTATAGGAATCCTGACACTTGTTTCAACATACGCTATCAGGACAGCAACTTGAGTGATGGCAGAATGGAGGCTAGAAGAGAGCAGAAGTGGGAGGATGACGAGGATATACCTGATTTCCATTACAACCTAAACTATCAGCCTGAAGATACTCGCCATAAGAGATCTCATCAACAGCCGGGCGTCTGGAATCCGCCTGACAGCCTGGAGGACTCCTCTGAGACCAATTGCTCCAGTGATGTGGCCGTAAGGGCCTATTCTAACCTAGCCAGCCTGTGAGATGCCCTATTCATGGCTCCATTTTCTCTCTTATCCTTGCAGGGCTATCGGGACCAGATGCTGTCGGAGGAAATGGCGGCGCTAGTTCCACCTGGACTTCAGGGGAAGGAAGATGTCCTCTTTGGAAACCTCCATGAACTGTACACATTTCACAGTGAGGTTTTTCTGAAGGATCTCGAGAACTGCATATCAACCACGGAGCTTGTTGCGCTATGTTTTGTTCAAAGAGTGAGTCTGCAAGGATGTTTTTATTCTTGGGGTAGAATTGACTGGAGTTTCTTCTCTCTTCAGCGTGACACATTCTATCGTTTGTATTCGTACTATTGCCAAAACATTCCCCGCTCGGAGCAGCTCCGTGAGACTCTGGTGGACACCCACTTGTTCCTGCAGGAGTGTCAGAAGCGTTTGGGTCACAAACTCCCCCTGGCCGCGTACTTGCTCAAGCCCGTGCAGAGGATTACAAAGTACCAACTTCTGCTGAAGGACTTGCTGCGCTTCAGCGACAACGGCACCTGCGCCAAGGAACTGCAGAAAGCTCTGGATTGTATGCTGATTGTGCTTAAGTGTGTCAATGATTCGATGCATCAGATCGCCATTACGGGCTTCCCGGCGGACTTGTCTCAGCAAGGTGAATTGCTGCTGCAGGACTCGTTCCAGGTGTGGACGGACAGCAAGAAGGATCTGCGATTGAGACTGAAGACACAACAGCGGCATATCTTTCTCTACCAGAAGGCGATGCTCTTCTGCAAGCAGGCATCGAAGACGGGGCACAACAAGAGCACGTATCAGTACAAGCATTACGTGAAGGTAAGAGGGATGTGGAAGTTGAGTTTTCTAAGGGTATTTCTGATCTTGATTCCTCTGCAGATGTCTCAGATCGGTTTGACGGAGTCAGTTCGAGGGGATCCTCGTCGTTTCGAAGTGTGGCTTCAGGGAAGACAGGAAGTTCACACAATCCAGGCGGCAACAGTTGACATTAAGAACAAATGGGTGGCAGAGATCAAGAAGGTCCTTCTCAACCAACTGGAGGAGCTAAAAGGCGAGAAGATCAAGCAATACGGCCTCAATCACAAGTAAGTTTTGGGCGTGGGGAATGTTGCCAGCTTTTTCAAAGGTATTCTCTTCAAATATTCAGGCCGAGAAGAATTTTGAACAGGATTAAGTCACTGTGAGTTCAGCACCTAAGAAGCTTGGATTGTTGTAGACTGATCGCTAGGGAGCTTCGCTTTGTGTGGTGGGAGAGAATGTTGTTCTGATTGTGGGTGTTTTTCACAGGCAATTGCGTCACACCACATCCTGGGATACTTCGGTGTCTGCTGGCTCCACGCCACAGCGAACTCTGAGTTGTGACTCTGGTGAGGCGAACAAGAACTCGAACATCTCCGAGGATCTGCCACTGCAGACGCCAGGCGTGAGCTCTTCCTCGTCGGAGCACGACAATCAGGAGGCCGGAGCCTGGAGTTCGGACTACTCCAACAGCGAGGATGAGTACACCAACCTCGAGGATGGCGTGCAAGCGGTAAGGCCTAGCCTCGAAGCCATAGATTATACTGTACAATGACTCTATCCACCCACCTGGGATCTTTGGTTATTCTGTCTCACGTGAAAACCACCCCTGAATCTCTCTCTCTCTGAGTCTGGCAACATACTGAAGACAATAATGTGTAATTATTTAGGAGGCATGGAATATGTCTGTTGCACCCACAATCCACGCTATAAACTTATTTGGCTCATCAGGGGACATCTGCACTGATGATGATGACATTAAGACCCAAAATAGACGATCCAATTCCACATTCTATGTACCAATTGACGATGCTTTCCATTAACAAATGTCCTGTAAAAGGGGGTTTGCGGTGTACATATGTGATGTCGTGTGGCCAGTGAAGGATAGAATGGAGGAAATCCAGGATTCACCTGGATAGAATTGGAATTGTGGGCAATTTATGGACACACTCCTTGAGTTCTTCCGTGTATTTTATTTGAGCAAAAGATCTTTTAAAGTAAGTTTGGTTTTACTTTCATTTGTAAAATCATTTTTCTCCTCTGAGCATTGGAAATTTTTACTTCTCCCCCCATGAGAATGCGAATGATATCATATAACAGTCCATGATTTATTTTCTCCTTTCTTACTCTATCCTTATGTATTTATCCCTCTATTTTCTTTTGTCATTTGGACTCACTGTGAATAACATAAAAGCACCAGCTTCTCAATAATTTCTGTTTATTATTTCTTTTGCTTGTTTTCCCCCTTTTTTTACCGCACTTAATTGATGTCACTTGATATTTGCTGAATATTGTATCATACAAAATGTTATATCTTCCTTCTCTCTATCGTTCTCTCCCTCTCAATTCAGGGTAGTAAGTTTATCTCACTTGCTGATTACTGTGCAATGGGCCACTCGGAAGTCTCCATGCGAGAAGGTGACACAGTTGAACTGTTGAAAGTTGGTTGTGCCGGCTGGTGGTTTGTTAAAGTTTTAGGTAAATCAATCGTTATTTCTTATACACCAAGCAAAATAGTCTTGAAAAATCACTGTACGATACACGAGCAATCACTTGGTTTAGAGGCTATGAATAGTATGATTGTTTTCTGTATTTTCTTCACTTTCTAATTCTCACTGTTTTTCCACTTTAAAGGGGCCAACGTGGAAGGCTGGGCACCGGCCGCATATTTGGAATCAATTAATCGGCGACCGGCGCGGATCCGGAGTCAGGATCGGCTGAATGAACACTAAGCTAAGAGCCAAAGCAATCTCTTTCGACTCCTAAAGCTCATCCCTAAGACTATATTGAGAGGCATTTTGTGAAAATGCTTCAAAAGCTCTCGATGTTCTCGCGCGCGCTCATTTCTACTTCAACTCTGCAATTGGAATGTAAAAGGTCTTCTTTGGCAAAATGTTGGTGGATTTTCACAAGAATGGGATTTCACAATCTGGATTTCTTTAAGTTGAATTCTAGTCCTCTTTTAAAACGTATTTAGTTAAGACATTTTCTATCTCTATTTTGGCTGAATTTGATCATTGCGAAAAGAGAGAAATTAATCTTAGCGTATATTTATCATGATTGTATATAACATTGAGAAGAATAACTTAAGATTATATCGAGCTATATTGTTGAAAAATGTTGTTGTAGATTCGTCGCTGCGTTTAAGAATATGTTTAAGACATTTTTGTGCTTGATTTGCAAAGGGTGCAAAGAGTGAGAATTTGTAAGCGGTGTTTTTGAAAAAAAAAAAGCTTTCTAACAAGTAAATATTTCTGAATATTTACCTTTTTTTATAAAAGTATTTCGACAAATTCTCATTTCATGTGTGCCCTTTTTGATCGTCACAAATCTCCGAAATCCCCAATAATATATTTAGCTTTTAAGGACAATTTTTTGTAGTAAGTTTCTATAGAGAAAGCTTAAAAAGAAAACAATCTTTCATACGCGCTGTAGCTTTTTAGATAAAGGTGAAAATTGTGAGAAAAAAAGTATAAACATGAGCATTTCCTCCATGTGATTGAAATTGTTATTCTCTTTTCTAAAATAAAATTAAAAATAAAGAAAACATTGTTGACATGCACAATTCACTGTGAAAAGTCTTCACCAAAATACCACTTAAAAAAAATATGTACCATCATGTTTCACTATTTATAATGAGATGCGATGTGAAAAGTTTGAAGAATATAGCATGAAATTCCATGATAAAACATACAAGGTCTTTTGATGATGTCTGAGGAAAAAGCGTCTGGCTGAAATGTTCACGCTCAACTTCACGTGAACATCAATTTGCGAGGCGTATAAAAAGCTTATTAATAGTTGATGAGCTTCGATGATGACTTTTTATTGGGCGATGTTCGCAATGTTTAATACAAGGTTTAATAAATAAAAGTCCCGTGAAGAGAAGCATATTTGATTAGTTGACGGCAAAATGTTGGGACTGACAATTGTGGTACTTTTGAGTGTCTTTGTTGGATTACTGGACGCTGATCCGGATCCTGATTGCTTTAGGAATCGCCCAACTGTTGTGAGTGACAGATTTCGAATATATGTTGATTGAGAACAGTGAGGAAAAGCTGCGTCAATTTCCAGACTCCGATGGAATGTTGCACTTTGCCGGACATTCTGGATGTGGACAAACTTCAGGAGTGCAGAGATGAGTTCAATGCCAGCAGTAATGAGATAGATACGCAGCTTCCGAAGTCTGAGGGCAGATCTAGAGATCACCATCGTGGGCACGGAGGTCATCACAGATGCTGGCACTGCTACACATGCTCGTATGAGTGTGTCTTCAATGGCACTGGATTGATGGTTGATGGACAATTGGAGGCCGAGAAGGCTCTTGAATATTTCATTGAGGCGGCAGCAACATCTGATCCTAGATGGACTAGAGAAGTAATTGAGGATGCTTTCAGTGCGTGCAATGACAAAGTAAAGATCATGAGGGAAAAATTCGCGAAGAGAGCAGCCAGAAGACCTCCTCATGCTGACGATGATCCCGAATGCAGTCCAATTCCGCAGCACTTGATCCGCTGCATCAACGGCCAGTTGTACAGAACGTGTCCGGATGATGTCAGAGTGGGCAGCGAGGAGTGCAGTCATCTTCAGGAGTACCTCAATCGATGCCACGGTCCGCTTGAGTGGAAGAAAGTCAGTAAGCCCGTGGTCGAAGACTAGATTAAGCGGAGACACGGGAATTCCCGACGAGAATTTCACCGATTTCACCTGTTGAGCGCACACAAGAGCCTTGCGAACTCATTAAAATTTATGCCCCTATCCTAAACACCAACAGTTTGATCTTTTCCCTCCTTTGCTGTCTTCTGCATCAATTTCGTACACTTTCCTTTTGGTGTTAGACGTGTTTGAGGAAGTTTAATCTCCCAAGAAATTGTTTATAAATCATCAAGAGATAAAGTTATCTTGTGTGCTTTTCTCCACTGGACTTTTATTTCTTGCGCCCCTCAAACTTTCTCAGCAAATAAAGAGAAGATGTTACAATTTCATTAGCCGTAAGTGTTATCTGTTTTTCGGTAATGCTTGGCAAATAAATCGATGGGGATTATTTTCTTCATTAAGGGTGAGAAAAGAAATGGACATAATTGTACCTTTAGATCCCCGGATATGATTGAAAGACTATTAATCAGAATTCATTCGCTGTCGTTGCGTTAACGTGAAATTTTTATCCTATAAAGTCATGCTTGAAGTCTTGTGTGAACACATCAAGACATACATTTGTTAAGAAATAATCCTAATGGATTATTGATTGGTGAGAGTGTGAGCAAAAATCAATTTTCACAACTAAAAATACCCCAAAATCCAATCTGGAGTCACCGAGTATCCACTGGCTTTGCTCAGGACACTTGTCCCGAATGCAAAAACCGCCACGCGTGTCGCCTCGGGACGGTGATTTAATATTTGATGGGTCAGTTATCGAGCTGGCTATTGATTCGCGCCGTGGCTGTTGAGACGTGCTTTATTAGAAATTCATATTTAGGTCAGTTTAGCGCCATCATTCAAGCACTTCAGTTGATGTTTCACTTCGACTGGTGATAAATCGTGCCCTTAAGCCAGCGCTGGTTTTTTTGAGGGTTCAGGCGAAATATTGCAGTTATAAAAATCGAGGTAAGGATTTTACAAATTTACTGAATGAGTGGGTGTGAGAACTTCCAAGGGTTTCTCTCCCTTGTAAGTTTGTTTTGGGTGAAAAGTAAAAAGTTGTTGATCCATAATTCATCGAGACATATTTTGTAGAGTGAATTATTAAGAGAGAAAAAAGTGAAATATTGTTGCTGTGTAAATCATTCAGGCGCAGAGTGATTGAAGAAAAATTCGACGTATTTGCTACATAATACATAATCTGAACTTTTCATGCAGCTTTCACACATCACTGAACTGCAGAAATTGCATCATTTCTCAAAGTTTTCTTCATCTTGTGCATTTCTTCTCAGTGGTAGAAATTAAGGGCAAAGTTTTTAACCCTATAGAAAGAAAACCCTTCTCGCTTTGAGAACATCAAGCTGGAATCACATGTACAAATTCACAGGCTACATATGAATATTTTAGTGAGTGAGTCGCACTGAAAACTGTAAAATCCTCTTCGATGGCACGAGGTGAGGTGGTAAATAACACTCTCATGATAAATTGGACAGGAGTTTGAGGCTGGTTAAGACATTAGAGAATGCCTCAAAACAGGCCAAGTTTTTGAGATCACCCACCCAAAATGTCCATTCATAATTGAAGCCTTTCGGTGGCGCAGTCAGTTTCCTGTCTTCTGGCCTGATTAAATAAATAAACACCAGATTTCTTCGTATTAATTGTGACCTCATTGCAACCAGACTACAGTGTCTGGAAGTGTCTCTGGCTGATCAAACGCTTTCGTGATTTCTTTGATGACAGTTGATCTGCCGGGAATGGTGCCGATGGATCCGATGGGACCAGCAGTGGTCAACAATGGTGGTCACGGTGGAAATCAGCTCGGCAATCAGCAGTTCAACGTCCCGAGAGATGATGAGTACAGAAAGAGGATTATTGGTGAATATAATCAAAGTGATTTAACACATAAACTGTGTGCTAATGTCTTGTCCTTTTTTTCCTCTGCAGCCACAATTGGACACGGAGGTGAGTGAAAATCTTCACTCAATGACCATTAAGATGTATATTTGATAATAGTTTTCCACTCTGTGCCCCGTGTCAACTTTAAATCCTCCCGCGTCAAATCCACAGAAATGCGGGTTGAATGATAGGTTGGATTCCACTAATTAATCATGCCATCATCGTTCATCTCAAGCCCCAGCGGATTTCCCATGTCGAGAAATTCTGGGGCGAGAAATATCGCCCAAATTAATTTCCTCATATCTTGTGCGTTGAATTTTTCATTTAAAACAATTAAATTGCTCCACATGCCCCAAATTCCCACCGGCATGAGTCTCTCTCTTTTTGCGCACACCTTCGCCGAAAAAGCCTTCGTGGCAGTGGCAGAAAAAAGTCCGAGAGGGAATGTAAATTATTTCCCTCCCCCCACCCCCCTCCGGACGCACCCCAAGCGCGCGATGGGGAAACCATTCTGTTTGAGAATAGGGAAAATATTGTGGTTGGTATGTGGTTGGAATTTGAAAACAAGAGATGTCAGTCGAAGGATCTCATTCGCATTCACAGGCGCCCTTTTTGGCGCCTTTCCCAGCATATCCAATCCACGCAAAAGGGTTTTCCTCAGCACACAGCCAAGAAGCCATGCAACTTTATGGTGCTCATAAAAATCCACTCTCAAAAAGCACCACAGGATTTGGCAGGAAGAACGATGGAACTTGAGTTTGGCAATGCAGAATTTCTATACAGAAATTTAATTGGAAAACTTTCAGCTATGATGTTTAAATTTGGGAAAATGTCTGTGAGCCATTCTCAAGTTGATAATGAGCATTTATTCAAAGGTGTAGTATTTCCAAATCACATAGAGAGTTAAAGGAAAAGCCCCAAGGCGTCAATGTGAATTTTCACGTTGAGCTAAAAATAAGATTTTTCCTGCTAAGTATTGAACATCCACTGTAATGAATTTCGATCCATTTCCTTAATTTTGTATTGAACTGCAAACATCACTAAAGTAGATATAAACATTTAGCTTAAATTATTCATGACTAATTCGACTTATTCCAATAAGTGCTATTTTACGATATTGAGACTTTCAATTTGCACATTCAAAAGCTCTTTCAAACACCCTTTTTTAAAGGCACTGTAGATTGTAGTCACGTAAGCAAAATAATATTTATATATTTAACCCTTTAAATTGATGCAATTTCTTGTGCAATTTCTTACTCGGAATGATTAAAATACCTTTTCAAAGCACCTCCAGTTGCGAAGATTATCTCGGTTTTGTCTATTAATGCCTCTTTCATTGAGCTTTCAGTGCTTTCATGTTCTTGGAATTTAATACAGAGAGTGTGCAAATGACAACCGTGAATACAGTGAACATTTTCAGCGGATTGAGCGAATTGGAAAGCAATTTGCGTCCGCAAATTCCGCTCGAATTCCCATTTCTCAGAGCTGCGATGTAAAAGCGGATTTTCACGTTATCATGCAATGCACGTCACTAGAATGACGTCAGTGTTTGTGAGAGAGAGAGAGTTCACTAAAATCCACTGACCCCATTTGATGATGCAATTTTTCCTTGTTGCGCGTGGGCTGAGCACTTTCACTCGTTTCGAGGCTACATGACGTGAAAGAGATCCTCACTCCACGTCTTTTATTCCCATTATTACATGTGATTGCACACGCATCGCCTCAATCCACCAGCACAAAGAGGACATTAAATCGGAGGGTTTATGTCACCCACCGCCCCCTCTGAAATGCTGTATGTGAAATGCCAAGAGCACGGCGCCAGGAAGCTCCTCAAATTCTGCCACACACACATATATATTCTTCGGGCTGTTGCGAAAAAATAAGGGCAAAATTAGGGGATTCCGAGGGATTTGTCACCCAGGAAATTCAATTTGCCGCCAGCGCGCGCAGATCGAGTGTATGTACATAGATAAGGCTGGTCAGGGATGCAAAAAGGATCTTTGGAGATGCCGGGTATCGATCCCGGTACCTCTCACATGCTAAGCGAGCGCTCTACCATCTGAGCTACACCCCCAGATACCTCCCAACTTTCGAAAAGTCACACCGAGACCCAAAAGTGATCCAGTTTTACTGCCTCACTCTCACCAATGTCGCGTCAACCTGAACAAACACGCGCGAAATGTTAAAAGTTAAAGACTGAAAGCCAATAAAATGGGCTCTTTAAGTCGCATGAGTGTGAGTGAATTGATTGAGTATTTACAACTAGTTGTGCATGTAGACAGATAAGAAGATTGATGCCACGATTAATGCCATGTCTTATCAGCATCACGAGAGCACAGAATCTAAACTGAAGCATATCAGCATCTCTGTTTGATAAGCTTCGTCAATTTAATATGCATTTCACAAAGGCGAACATGATGTTAGTCAGCAATCACACAACAATATCCAATTTTGTCTAACAAACATTTTCCAGGTGAAATGCAATTTATTGGTCAGACGGAACCGATATTGTTGACCCAAATAAACACACACACCGAATTGTGGAGCGCCATGAGAACTGCAAAATCTCATTATTTCATCATAATGCTTAATATTCATAGAATTCTCTCCGTGCGAAAGGTGCTTGAGAAAGCCAAGAAAAATGCCCGAAGCAAGAGCGTTCCTTTTGTTTTGACAAATGTAATTTTCATGGGGCGTCGGGGAGCTTTTGTGGAAAAGCTCCCGGTGGTCAAACAGGTGTTTGTGGCATGCTCAACTTTCAGTCTCTCCCCAATTCGTCTTCATCCATTCTCTCCATCCTGGGCGCGAGGATTGAAATGCCACCCACCGCCCCATTTGCTCCATTTACTGTTCACTGCACTCGCGCCAGAGGAGATGAATTCCATCAACCCCGTGACACGTTCTGAACAACTCCTTGCGGGGTTCATGCGCATTCCGACGCCCTCGTGGAGGCTCAACAGCTTCCCCGCGCGCTGTGTCAGTCCACGAAGGATCGCTCGGGAGGACAGTCGTGCGCTCCTGGGCTGAGCAATCGCGAGTTTGTGGCGAGGGACAGTGTTAGATGGCACCTACAATGCAGGCGCCACCACCCATGAAGGCACCTAGCGAGCATGGCGGTTCCATCCGGCGCCCCGAGACGGGCGCCTCGGGCTCCGCAATGTACCCTCACGGTAAGAATCTCATACTTGCACTGGGAGACAATGTTGAGATGCCACAGGGTGGGTGGGGAAGGGAGATTAATTACGCGCAACATGTAAAACTGTGATAGTTTAGGGAAAATGTGTGTGAAATGTTTGAGAGGATATGAGATTAGCACAGAAAATACGGTGGAATTTGTGTGTGGTAAACACGCCATGTGAAAGATGTTATTTTTCTTTTCATTTGACGCATACAGATGGAGAAAAATATTAAGGTGAAAAGCCATTGATTTAAAAATGAGTCAGATTGAGGACTTGATCGCTTTAGTACGCTCTGCCCTGAATTTTTATCATTTTCCACACCCCCTTATGATGTAAATGTCTGGACACAGTATAAATGGGCGGAGCTCTTGAGTGGGCGTGTCTCTTCAGTGAAATTATTTTCATAGACAAACATTTCAAAATTATTTCTTTATACATCGAAACAATATGCGTAAAATGCGTCTGAGTAATGAAATATGCATAATCAAACAATCATATTATCACTGCGTATTCGAAATATAATTTATTAAATAATAATAATGGAAAACACCGAACGATAAGTTGCAAATAAATCAAGGCATGAATCATATTATTGCCATGGGTTCATTTTGCAGAATCAATTAATTGCGATCCAGGAAAGCTTACTGAATTGCAAATGTTCATGATGAAATTGCGTAGAAATTCAATGGTGGAGAATTCAAAAATTGTTTTTCGCCATGTCGCTGGGGTTTGTGTGGAACAATGGGTGGCGATGAGAGCCACCCTCTTGAAGCGATACAGAGTATTTTATTTGCATCAATTGGGGAAGTGTGTCTCGCAGAAATTCCCTCCACAGGCTCGTTAAATATTTTTCTTGGCCTCTCCGCTTGCTCTCCGTGCCCTCGGGTTTATTGTAGTAATTTTTCAAGAGCCTCCCACCGCCGGGTCGTGAGGCTGTGTGCCCCCAAAGAATGGATGATGATACTTGTCATCGTGGCGATAGAGTTGGAGGCACGCTAGAAGAGTTTTTGGCTCCATTGTGCGTTATTTATGGGGTGGATAAATGGCAAAGTTCGCGGAAAATGATCCCTTCACTGTGCGCCTCTTCAGTTCAGGAGTTATTGAGAAACTTCCCGGGCACGGGATGGAGGACCAATTCTTACAAATTTCAATGGAGGTTCGCCTGAATTGAAAGTTTATGTTTGTGGGGTAGGTAAAAATTGAAAAACTTTCCAAAATATTGTTTTAGGCCTGAAATTTGCCTAGAAAAACTGCCCTTCCGCTTGTGTTTTCACAGAGGCAAATTGAATTTCCACCCAAGCATGTCCGCTGGGATTTTCTGGAGAAAATTTAGTCTAGAAGAGGTCAGACGGCTGTTGGCACTCTCTTTTGCCAAAAGTTTTAATTTACAGAAAGTTTTTTCAAAGACAAATCATCAGAGCTTTCAGTTTCGTTTGGAATTGTGATGAAATTTCAACGAAACTTTTACTTTCTACCACTCAACATTATCTTGATTTCCCGCCAAAAGCAACCTCACGCACCTAATTTATTGACATGCGGAACAGGAAGTCTTTTGCTGAGGCAATTTTTCACACAAAACTTTATCTATCCCTTTGGCAACTCACAAGGGGGGGGGGGGAGATGAAGACGTAACAATTTGTCATTAATTCAATTGCAAAATGTGTCTCAATGTGGCGAAAGTCTGACAACGCCACCGAAAGCACTTTACGGGAACTTGACTCCAATTTTATTATTACACCCTCCACGAAAAGCCGTGAACGCGTCTTGTGCCATTAAATTACACCTCAAACTAAAACATCCGCACAGATGAAACTTCCTCGTCATAGCATTTATCTGGCCTAGAGTTCTCTGTCCGTGATGAGTGACTCTCCAGGGATTTTCACGTCC